GCAGTAATGCAAACACATTTATTACTACTGAATTTTGTAAGAAGAGATAAGTGGTGGCTTCCCTTCTCTCTTCAATAATGCTGGCTTTTCAGTCATTGCTTTTTAGAGATTTTAGATACAAACGTAGAAAATGATTCGACAAGATAAACGTCACATCAATCTTGAACACGGTCAAAGACAATACCAACATGGATACAACTGACAAGTAGCAAATAGAAAAAAAAGAGAGAAGGAAGACAAACAAAAACGCTACACAAAGAAGTGGAATGTAACGAATACACATCCATATTTATTTATCACAATGATAAAGACTATATTATTTCTTATAGGTGTCCGTACATTCACGTATCATGTACTTCTTTTTCTTATTGTAGGCCTACATATTTTATGCAAACCATTCACACACATACACATGAACAGCAATGCTCAGAAAACTCTTGTTAAGAAGACAATGTATACGGAACTTACTTAGACAGGAAAAGCACTTAAGTGAATTATCCACTATGTTACTTAAAATGTTAATATTTTATTTTCACAGAAACTTTCCGTGTAATCAACTAGATAATAGGAAAATAACTGAGAACAAAGAAAAGTTCTACTGCATACACACAGAGACAAAATGGTCGACAACTACGATTTTTCATCGATAAATAATCTGTCTTGAATAGTTGAGTATATAAAGAAAACGTTATTTAAGCGTAAGCTTTGAAAGTAAGTTGTTCACCATTTGTTACACATACTTCTGAAAACGAAATGAATGGATAGATAGAACGCTAGGCAATAGATTTCATCCAGAATATTAGTGATTTAAAAATTACATTGGAGGATCACTTGTAAAGAAACTTCACCCAACTATTTTACACATCTGTGAAATATTTATAATCCATCTTAACTATCACATGTGTATTTACTTCTAAAGAAGATTAGCATATTTTAAACCTGAGCTGCCGCTCAGATTCATCCGAGACGCTGAATATAACTCTGAGACCATCCAATACATTTAAGCAAATGCTTCCTCCTGTGAATATCGATTTGTGGCAATGAGGTAACAGCAAGCAACCATGTTCAAAATCTCCTACGAAAACTGGGAAGTCATACATGAACGAAAAATGTATCCAATCCACTGTAGTCTAATATTTAACTGCAGGTTAGAAAGCATGATGAAAATGTTTTCTCACTCATCTTAACAAGAAGAAGTGTTTTGCGTGTACTATCTGAAGGAGTTCAGCGAAATGATGAGAGAATAGTACAATATAGTAGGTTAACTGTCAGTGGATTATCAAAGATCATAGGAAGTGCAGTGGTGGAATACGTTGGTCATTTCACTTACTTGGGAAGTTGCATCAGCCAAAATCGGTTGCTTGCTGATCTAATCTCAGTCAGAATACAAAAGACTTGTCTGCTATTTGCAGAATAATGTCATTTCTGACCCCGGTCAGATATCTGACTACCTAGTAAGGGATTAGTAAACTGCGCTATAGTATGCGCTATTCTAGTGTACGGCTGTGAGCCCTGGTCATTGAAAGTAGATATGAAGAAATAATAGGTGTCTTAGCAGTATTGCTCATATATGGCGGAATCACCAAGTTAGCAGTGTTTAGATTAGATTAAGAGTACTAGGAAAGTAAAGTAAACTAATTGATGAAGTTGTCAACCCTCATCGAAGTAGGATTTGCTTGAAAAAAGGTTTGGATGGCTAGATCAAAACATGGAACCAGTAGCAGAAGTGTTTGACTCTTGATCTGAACAGTGTATTTAGGTGTAGATTGCTTAGTTGGGGCTTTTGCGATAACAGGAATCAATGGTTGCAGGCTCTTCATCACATAGCTGAGAATGGTGCAGATGTCTTTACTCTTTGACATCTTCAAAAGTTTGAACATTTCCCCTACCTTCAATTTTCAAATTGTTTCTCCTTCCACGCACTTTGTTGACTTTAGTGTCACTCTTTTTCTACACACTTGTTCATTGCATGGTGCTGTGAAATGTGGTAGCTTTGAACTTATGCACTTCTGTGCTAGGTTCTAAGTTGATTTCCTGAACTGTCGGTCTATTTGGGCGGTAGTTAGGAAGCATTAGAACTATATAGGTAACCAGAGTTCAAGTAGTGACTTCAAAGCTCATGTGGATATATGCAATGACAAGATTTATCCGTAGTTAGTCGTTGACTGTTTTAATACTTAGAGCTAGGAAACATTTACTGGCTATGTTCACTAAGATGTTCACTGAGCTAACAGGATGAACCACATTTGACGTTGAGTAGTTGGAAAAAAATCAGTAAAAGGGTAAAACACATAGGTTATATACCTTTGTGTTATCAAAAGGTTGTTGTGTTATTTTTAATGTGAAACTTCTCTTGGCTCCCAGGTTGTCAAAAGTTCTAATGAATATGAGCACTTCATTGCAAAGCAAAGAATGTGAGTTGTTCTCAATAGCACCTATTTCCTGTTCATGGGTTCTGAAGAGCATGAAATCCAAGTTTAGGACACTCATTTGGTCATGTGCGAATGAGCTGGTCTTGAGTGAAATATCGGTCGGATAAATTTATAAGATGAAAAATATATTCTTTTAATTGTAACTAATTCACCTTACTTCAATAATGCTACTTTCAACAAGATATTTCCATACATTACAAACATACAATGGTATACAGGTATAACATGTGGTACCAGCCAAGGGCAAGATGGTGATCATATTACTTACCGATATCACTAGTATTTCAGTTCAGATCATTTATACTCAAATATGAGGGAGCACCCTGGTAAATTTACATTTCATTCTCTTTGAAGATGCATGAACTATGGTTTTAAGTGCTAAGCTCTTTTCTAATTTCTCTTGTATCACTCCCAATGGATACAGTACACTTAAAATTTCGCACTAAACAGAGTGAAACACACAGTAATTCTTTAACATCGTCCTACCTAGCGTAAGCAGATTCGTGTTCTGGGGTGGGTCGAATTTTTTGAGTGAAGGCTTGTGATACCAGTCACTTGTACACACTGAAGTAAGTGAAGAGAAATTGAAACCCATGACATAACAGTGGAAAGGCCGATACCCAGGTTAAAGAGAAACAACTGGAAACACCAGCTTAAACTACAGCAATGATAGGTTATATTTTTGGTGCAAGCACACGCAACATACAGAGTGAACATGAGGCCATCATAAATATCCCCAGTCAGGAACAAGTAACTAAATATGAGTTAGCCATCATATGTAACCTTTGCGGGAGAAAAGTTTCTTGATAATTGTATATAATATGATGAAAATCAATTCACATTTTTCAAGTATTATCTGTCATTAGGGCTTCTATGTTCTTATCAAAGTAAATATTACAGACAATGTGCTTATTCACCATAATATTCACATAATCTCTATAAGATTAAAAATGATAGATGAACACAAAAGATTTCCCCTTCACTAAGAATCAATATATAGTTAGGTTTATACACCTCATAAATACGTTTACGTATTTCCCCTTGATAATCAGAATCTGTCAGTTGATACTCCAGTCAATATGTTGATAACAAGAAGTAACTGTGTTTCACAATCAAGATAATGTCAAGAGGGAAAAAACCAATAAATAAACAGTTTAGTAAGGTGTAAAAGCAAAAGCTTTTCATTTCGAAACAACATCAAATGATGAAAATGTTGAGATTGATGATTATGTGAGACCTGGATTTAAGTTCAAACAAAAACTGGAATCGATGACAGAAGACTATTGGTGATATGACTTAGGACTGACGACAGTGGCGCAGGTGTCTCTATGCCTAATTTTCGTTTTAACTGCCGCATTAAATTTCGTTGCTTGCTTGCATTTTATTGCTCTCAACGACTTTTGATTATCTTCTTGCATTTTCTCACCTCTTTTTTTGCTGTCTTGTGGATGATGTGAGTTGTAGCGATTCGGACTGTTATGTCGTAATGAGTTTCAGGTATGTGGCCAAGATGGTTAACTTTCAACCAGTAAGTCGCAGGTTAAAAACCTGCTTCAAATGAAGACGTTTGATTAACAAGATGGTATCATCGTAACTCACCCAACACGTGATGTTGTTGAGTTGCTAATAATCAGATGGAAGTCCCTTATTTACGATGATCAGCATCAGACTGATACGATTATGAACAATAAATTATGCTCTTCTAGTGGGAAATACTGTTTTACCGTGAAATATATACAGTGAAGGTACTGAAATAGAATTGTAGGTCTACACTTTTCTCAAGATCAATCTATCAGTATTGCATCACTCGAAAATAGCTACAATCCCGTTTTTCCATATTCGTGATAAGTAACTAACTGCCAGTTAGCCGTCAACAACAGTGTCTATTTGAAAAATGCTAACATGTTCATTACAATAATTAACCGTAGTTTTCTGCAGAGGTTTGTTTCTCTAAATATGTTAGTCAAAAGTTCACGACTGATCAAATAGTGATTTCTGCTAGTGCACATATTTATGTGTTCATTATTAACCGTAATTCTAGTTTAATTGGTCATATATCCTTATCATGCTTTAACCATTCTGTCTCTATAATAATGAAACCCGCATGATAAAAAAGCAAATCATGTGCATTAACACTGATTTTTTTCTTCATTTCAGACAGATGTGCTGAACACACGTCAACTACACCTATCATACACATAAACAGATACAGGTTACTTGGGTTCAGCAGCTGGTATCACCTATTCACCTTTTGTGCACACAAACAAATAAGGGGTTAGGATCAACACAACATTAAAAGAAACAATCAGTTAGTGAGTCACTCACACACTAAGGTCATGTTATAAACTCTGTCTCATTCATGCAAATAAAAGGATATGATTGGACTAGTCAGTGACCTTGACAATAACAATCATTAGCCAACAACAAAGACAGTTAAACAGAAACAAATAGGTTAAAGCATTTGAAAATGTTCACAGTAAACAGCATAAAATGAAAGTGTCTAAATATATTTGATGAGTGAAGTGAGAAAAACAACAACAATTTGAAAGATACTGTGTTCGGACTTACGATTTAGCATATAAGTACTGGTTAGATTATTCTGATTGACAGCTGAGAAGACTTGAGGAAATCCACTAGCTGCTGCAACAGCAGCCGCTAAAGCTTGTTGTTGCTGTTGTTGCGAGTTATGTAATTGTAGAGCGAATGGGTTCAGTAAGCCAGTTACTGTGTTTGGGCCAATGGACTCTAATTCAGACATTAATGAACCAGAGAGTGGTGTAGCAGGAGGTGGTTCAGATGGTGGAGGTGGAATAACACCAGTGCGAATAGATTGGGCGAGTCTACATGCAGACCGTAAAGTTCCATGGGGGTCAACACCACTGATTGTTGTGGCACGAGTAAGACTACCTGTCATTCGTTGGCGTCGAGGCAGTGTACCTCCTGTTGACCCGTAGGCAGTTGAACGTGCGTATCCACCCAAAGATGAATCCCTGTGCCTATTATTCAGCTGGTACGTTTGACGTCGTTGTCTGCCACGCAGCCCAACATCGAAATCATTTCCAGTATAAAATCCATCTTCTTCAATATCTGAACGCGAGTTGCCTTTATTCAAGGCAACATGTTCGTCATCTTCACTGTCTTCTTGATCGTCGTTGACAGATCTAAGCAAAGGATTTGATGACAAATTATTTGAACCAGTTGATCCCATCCTAGGGACTTCACTTCTTGCTCGTTTTCTTGATCTTGAGAGACCAGATTGATCATTAGGATTATCATTAAGGACATGAGATTCTGAGTTAATATCTGTACTCACTGAAGGACTGGCAGCACGTGAATTTCCATATGTTTTACGTCTCATTAATTGTGAATCAGTGAGATGAATGCGAGATATATCTCGAGATTTATTTTGCTTATCATTCAAATGATCTGAAAGTGAGCATAAACAAGGCAAATGAAAGGTTTGAAGACAGAAAAAACGTAGTGAATTGGCTAAAAAAAGAAAGAATTTACTGGTCATTGGAAAACAGTCAGAATCAAGGACAGTAATTCATTCATGTAAATAAGAAGATTTAGCATAGGAATCGGGATAGAACTGAAATACTTGATGATGCATGCAAACACATGTTGGATGTCTTCGCTAGCGTCATGGATAGTTACCGAATCCCGAAGACCTGGCACATAAGAATTCAAACAAACGACATCAGGACTACCATTCGAATAACCGAGCACATTTAACTGATTGCAGTACTAATATGAAGCGTGCATCTATTTGTGCTGACCACCAAGCTAGGTGCTCTTTGAATATTACTCAAGTAAAATGAGACGAGATAACGACAGTCGACAAACAGTAATGGTCACATTCTCGTTTTCGTCAACAGACAACTGAAAGAATGGTCTGCAAGTTGGATTACAAGCTCCCACTACCAACTAAGCTTTTATTTCAGACTTTTAATGTAAAGGGAAAATACAACTGTTTGATATTCATTGCATAATTCGTTTTGAAATGTCTAAAATCACTATTACCGAGTAGAAATTTACTTTATGCAGGTATCATGATAAATTTGTATGGGATTTTCCACATAGCTTGAGTACATTTTAGTGCTAGCTACAACTGGTTCCTTCGATAAATTTGAGCAAAGCAGAACAAAGACATTTGCAGAATAAGATAAGTACACTTTGTTTCACAGCTTCTACTCAACTGCAAATGACCTAAAATCACCAACGTCGAGGTCTGCTTTCAACTTGAATTTACATCCTCAGCAATTAATACTTGTTTATCAACCACTGAGTCAATAATTCCATAGTCACTTGGTTGATTTGTTAACTGTCGCATAATGGATATGCTTATAGTTTAGTGGATGATAGAATACATGGTTGCTCCGTTATCATTACTAGTTGCAGAACTTAACACTTCATCTTAATCGTTATACTGACATTTATTACTGTTTCATTCTCCTTTGTTCTTTCTTCACAACTTTCTACCACTTTTGATTACCTTTTTTCCCATACTTTTTAATTTTTTATCTTGGCGCGTTCTCACTTGATATGATATATGTGGCAACTTGGACCATAACACAGTAGTACGAAGCCTCATCCCATGTTGATATTACCCAACTGCTCAAAACTTCGTGACTGAAATGTTTACTGAGAACTACCAAAATGCAACTGAGAGGAGCACCAACTAAGAAATCAAGTATGATATTGATAGTGTTAGACATACAAATTGAAGTCAATAACATACAAGAAAGAGTCAGGTTGGGGTTCATGTCAAACAGAATATGAGCAGATGAGAAGAATCCCCATTTATAACTAAGTGAGAAACGAGATGATGAGTTAGCTTTTCTCTACAGTTATTTGGAAAGGTTTGGCTTGTAAAGCAACGAGTGACCTTCGACTATACACTTTCTGACTGAACTATACAACTTGACAGTAATAAAAAGATTTACATTTCATACCATTTACGTAACACTCGGTGGTTAAAACCTGATTAAAAACATAGTTGTGTAGGTCAATTAATCGAGTAACCAACCCCTAATTAACCTGTTATACCAATTATTCGAGTTCTCATGTATACAATAGTTTTCTTGATTAGTTCTTCACAAAAACTGAAACTAGTCTGTCAAACAACAATGACTTATACAGTCCACTTCCTAATTACATTTCGAATACAGTAGGTATGATAGTTCAATATTTATCTATGATTTGCGAAAACGACGATCAATTACTTACTGTTCATTATTCTTCACACACGAGAAATTAGAATATTAAGTCAAACACTTGGAAATACTCGATTCATATCACACTAAACATCAAAAAGCCGACGATGAAGCATAAGCTATTGAGTGACAAGAAACGTGTATTACTGATTTCAAGGTGATGGATTCTATTCTGATGATGCTGTGAATTGAAGAGAGTGCGACTGCCCTTCACAGTAACTTCAAACACTTATTACGAGCTTTTAATTTACCAATAACACCAAAAGTCTAAATCACTAACGAAATTTAAGAAAAATATACAGCCATATAGTACATTTAATTTCCATATTCTCAAATTAAGGGAAACGAACAAATTCTAGCCAAGAGAAATAACAATATGAAATCATCCCTAAAAATAAGTCATCATCAAATGGCAATGCATAACTTGGATAGGTAATATGGTGAATTGTTTTTCTCTGAATGTGCATTGCCTAAAAGCACATTGTCTATACATTGGTATATGCGCCTTTACAAGATGAATAGACAAACAAAAATAACAGGTGTTAACAATATTCATGAATCATAGTTATTTGTGCGTGTATCATGTATTTAATATGGAATGATCAAGTCAGAATTTCATTAAAGAGGCAGATAAGGGAATTTACCCTTCGACGATGGAAGCAGTCAAGCGTACCTGTGTGCATGTGATAGGGTAAGCAGATAATAAAACAAAATGCATACAGACAACTAAACACGCGGGGTAGAGGAAAATATGAAGACATTGGCAAGACAACAAATTCTATGAAAAACCTGTTTGTATGTTGAAGGCTACCTTGTAGTTGTGTGTTTAGACCTATAAGAACTAAGAAATTAAAAGGGTTTCAGAAAGTGTAAGCCATAAAACGAAGTCCTTTAAAAGTTTACGGTATTTTCCAACATAGACGAGCACCAGTCAAAGAGTAAAAAGCTTTGAAAACATATAAGGTCGAAAGGTAAGTTATAAAATATTAGGTGACTTGCCTTAGTGTGAACCGGTCATTAGAATCGAATAAAGTAGAACAAAGGTAAGTATATTTGTCAAAGAACTAATCTACTCTGGAAACACATTCCTGAGTCCTAGAGAATAGGAAGAAAGTGCGTACAGTGCAAGATGATTACCAACCATTATTTGACCAGTGTCGAATTGTGATAGAAATCCTTTTCCAGTGTGGTCAACTATATGCCTGTCAAGGACAGTGGTGCACACATAGAGGTAAGGTTTTGACAGGGACACAATATTTACGCAAAAACCAGTGTGAAACACTACATAACGGCACTACGGTTTCATGTGCCATAGATTTCAGTAGCTCAGGGATAGAGAGAAAAAGGGAGAGGGGAATCAAATCAACTAGCAGAGAGAAATACTGAAAACGATTACTAGGCTCTCCTATTTACGGTTTTTAACAGAGGATTTATAACAGTTTTGCATTCGAACGCCAAAATTCGCAGACCAAGTTCCCCAAATAGCACTGAAGTTTTCTAACCTCTTTTATATTTTAAACAATACACTACAAGGTAGACTGAGCGTCGTATGAGTAAACTACACAACGAAAACCTCATTAAAAAGCCTACAACTTACCTAGCTTATCTGATGGTTCAATCACATCCAACAAAAACATGACGAAACTATAAATGAAAATCAAATCTATCCATTTCAACGACAATGTTTCACAAGTTTATAGCAGCAAAAAAGCAGATTTCTGCAGTTTGCAGTTTCCAAACGATATTCAAGTGCTACTTGTGTTATAAAATTACGATAATTATTAAACCAATATACAGGAGCACATCGACTCATATTAAAACCGAATAAAATCAACATATTAGAAATAATGGTGAAAATTTGTTTTTTGTTCACTTTTCATACGAAAACGGGGAATCTCGACAAAATGTACCGGATTTAAATGAACAAACCAAAGTGAAACAACTGCTTAATCAATTCCAGGGATGAACTACCTGAGCAGACAAACAGACTACACAAAAATGAATATTTTCGTTGGAAATATGTATAAAAATCACAAAAAAACTGAGCTCCCAATAAGAATGATCAACGTTTCTAAATGGGATTCTACCACTAGTGTGCCTACCCAAAAAGGGAGTGCCTACATTTTTTTGTTATATCGGATTGTTAAACCTCTTTTTAGATAATATCTTCTTAAGTTGTTATTCATCATGGACTGACATCAGTCGAAGAAACATTGAAAAATTGGACAGATGTTTCGTCCTAGTGTGGGACTACTCCTCAGAAGTGCTCATCCATGACCTCGCCAAGGATTGAGCCCAGGACCTTCAGGTTTTGCTGGGAGCATGTTACCATGGAGTCAATGGGTCGGAATCCAGTGTTCCGAAAGTCCTCGCAGATCCCCAAATCGAAATATCGTTTTACCTTCGAACTTACTGGAAGAATGCTGACCATTTCAGGCTACAACGTTAAGAATATATATAACTTGTGAAAAGGTTAGGTATGCAAAGCATAGGCATTTATTAATCTAGTCAATGAAAGAGTCTACGAGCGAAATAATTCAACTAGAACTGACTGGTACCAGTATTGTTGTTACAGTGGCTCTAGCATAAACAAGAGATTTTACAAAACGCCTACTTCTCATCATCCAGTTTTACGGAGGTAAACCGGAATACACAGCGATGCTGCTGCACACATCCGATCCTAATATTTATTTGTATAAACTGTCAGTTTTAAACATAGCATGGCTGATAAACCACAAATAGATATTTCGTATTCGTGCCTCGATTTCTTCATTAGAAATGAAAAATAATCGAAATGCACTCACTAACTACATTCACACACGTGCAGTAGGCACTGAGTTACATCTTTTGTGACGGTTAATTGTACTGCATGGCTACTCGCACCACGATAGGTGGGCGGGGTTCGAACCTATGACACTGGTGGGGAGATGAATAAAGAATGAGCCACAGCTCAAATTATAGATACACCGAAGTTGCTTTGGCTTCTAGGTAAGCGGAGAGGTGGATAATCCAAATAACTTTGTTGTACACCTCCAGATGACCTAGCGATGCAGAAAACTGTCATCGAGGTGGGAAATATCCCCGCCTTCCCATAACAAAAGTATATTATCTGACCCTCTAAGTCAATCAATCCACATCAGTACGGGAAGTAGAGTTAATGCAAGGCGACATAAAATTACCACACCTGACATCATTACATCAAGATATAAGGAAGTATGATGAAAGATAAGGAAATAGGGAATGAAGTCATCAAAAGAAAGTTGAGAAAGCGAGACTAAAACAAACAACGAAACAATATAAACGACAGACAGCCTTCAACTACTGATGCCGACTGTCAAGTAGACCCCAACTAGGAAGTCTAAGTTTCTCAACATGCCCCATACTGAAAGATAGGAATGTGATAATCCAGTCGCAGTTGACTATTTTCCAAGCTAAACCCTATTCAGTTAAAATTGTTATTTAGAAACAGTGGCGGCTACGCATACATGCGCAACAAATGTCCCAGCTACCTTAGTCAACCTCATCAACTGACTTACCTTTTCTATCTAAAACTCTACAACCCTAAAATCGATGCCCCATAAAACTCAGGTTATGCCATGAAATTAATAATGGTTCAATATCTGAAGACTTCTAATATCCCCCCATTTTTACAACCATATAGTAGGAAGGCGTACATTTTACTTAATGAACACCCTGATATCAATGCGGTATCATACAAGCTCTTTGTATTCGTGTCAAGATTTAGTCGGTCGCTGAACCAAGGTTGATCCAACATCCCAAGTAGGTGAGGTGGTCAAGGTGTTTAACCACTTCCCTCCCTATCATCATAGGAAGCATCAATAACGGACAAATACTTCAGTAGCAAGTTCCATTCGAGCGGTGAGAAAAACAACTCAACCATCCTCCAACTTCCACCAATATGCTTATAGACTCCATCTAGTCAACATCTTCATCCAACAAAATTATGCTGTCTGTGTACTCAGGGTCAACGTACGAGCATCCTACAAAATGCTCAGTTCCCGGGAGGTCAGAAGAGAGCATGACTAAATTTATGAAAGTTGTACAAAAATGAAAAGAGTGGACAACTTTTACGGATACCACTTAACATATAGGAAACAGATGATACCCCACTATACGTCACAACACACATAGGTGTCTGAATAAAAAGTCTTTAGAACAGTTGTATACTCACCCGATGAGTTTCTCAGTCAGGCACTGTCCCAAGATCTTACAAACGACGAAGTGACGCCTTTAAGTCAAGAATACAGCTAGTGTTGAGCCCCGGTAGGTGTGCTAGTGCTGAGAAGTGGCAGGAGGTGATGACTTGATACAATCAAGAGATGAAACATTAGACGATATCATTAACTTATTATCTACTTCCAGATCCTCAATCTTTTCAACAAATCAAAAGGTATCTTTGAGACTGTACTTCACAACTTCTTTGTGGAGAGGCTTCAAGAGTTGTACCAACCATTTTTGTCATGTCGAGAGTTGGTCGGAGAGGCAGACTAATTCTATGCAGTTTTGGTAGACCGTAAAGTCTACGTGTAACGGTTCCAGTAGGTTTGAGCATTTCGAAGGTGCTTTCTGAAATGAAACCCTGTTGTTTTATCTTTTTCAGTGGTTCGGTTAGATGTTTTTCGGTTTTCTCTGTTGTATCACCATAAGCGACTAATTTCTGAGATTTACTTTCATCAGTAAGTAAAGAATTCATTTTGTCTATGTACTATTTTTTGTCCATTAAAACTAATCTTGACCCTTTATCTGGCTTGACAATCACGATTTTTTTCGCTAGTTTTAAGCTTTTTCAAGGCTTCTCTGTGTTTTTTTCCCGTTAAAATACTCTTCATACCGTTCCTACTACTCGTGTACTTTAGGCAGGATTCAACGAGTGTAATCTTAAGTCTATCAACTTCTTCACTAGATGGTGGTACAAAACATTTCGTCTGTGTATACATGTTCTCAAACTGTAGTTCCGTTTCCATCTTACTAATCGTATTACGACTATCACAAAAGTTTGGTCCAGGTGACAAAACTTCTAACTGTATAGCATCAAGATCGATACTAAAAAAAATATGCACAAAATGACCCGGGTTAGTCAGGAATCTCGTCTCTGGTGCACGATTTTCGGAGTTATGATCAACTTAATGCGCTTCTTTTTTTGTGCATTGACTGCATACACCACATAACTCAAAAATTCCTGCTTTAAATTTTCCGGAAGCTCTTCTACAGCATGAAATCTCTCTATAACATTTTTCAGCATTTCAGTAGAATGTGATCTTAGAGAGTGAGTCTGATTCAGAGCATAAAGTTTCAGTGTTCTTACAATGCGTCGAACCCTGGAGCATCGTAAAGATTTCCAATATTCCTTAGGGTAACGATTCGCTGAAATACATTCGTCGATGAAATTTATAGTAACCTTCGCTTCACAGAGCCTTGCACTGCACTTCAGATGCTCATTGAGAGTCTTTAACGCAATTCAGTGCTCAGAAGATTTCAATACATGATATATTCCCATTTAGACATCTAGAAAAAAGACTGGTTGAGCTAAGAAATACATTTCTTTTCAATTAGGTCTTCATCTTGGGCTCTACATTAATATATATAGTTTTACAAATGCATTTCAACGAATCGCTACCTTAAGGAATGTTGGAAATCTTTACGACGCCAATGTAAGAACACTGAAACGTTACGCCCTGAATCAGATGTTCATCAAAATGATTTCCTCGAGGTGATCACAGGAGGGTTTATCACCTTTATTGAAGGCTGAGATAATGGGAGATTCAAAACATTAAGATAGAACCTCCTAAACAAACGCTAGTTATCCTAGCTAGTAGTCATTAACCACCATTGTTAAATGATTCTGATGCAGGCCCATCCAGAGATGCTGCCGTTTCGTTTCACACCTCTCTCAACTTCTGAAAGTTACGAACAATATGGCTACGTTCCGTTATGGATGTGACTGCATAGCAAGCAGCCAAATGACAGCTGGTGGACAGCTAAAATATTCACAGAAATGTCAAGCCTATTTTTTCAGTCGCCACCCGCGCGATGGCATTGCATACTCATTTTTGTTCGATACAGTCACACTGGCCACCAAATATTTTGCCTCCGCTTACCCCATAATTCGGAAAAACTGCATAGTTACCTAATGTCATTCTCTACTCCATCCGTCTGGCTTTCGCTACTAGTCACGCCTTACACTCATTGCGTTGACTGATTATCAATCTAAATTCAAGGCTCTATTGCACTACACTGTGCCTAAAGTGCTCAAATCCACTGACACTTTCAAGCCTATACGATAACTCACTACAGCCTTTAAGCGTTTCTATGTCAAATAGCGTTATGTCGTCGTGACCCATACCCATTTGGACAATTCCGTTTGTATTAAAGCATGATTACTATTCAGAAGCATTATTCAGAAAGAGGAAATCTTGCACCAACCCTCTCCAATAACGGTGTCGCCTATCTGTCCTTGCGTTGAGTTGAGGTCAATGAATACCAACTTAAACAATCCGTTTTTGTCTGAAGTACATACCTGTTAGAAACAGGTAGTTGTTTGAGCATAGCTGTGGCGGTCGAACGCAATAATCTGCATTCTCTAAGTTTATTGAAGAAAGATCAGTTCTGCGAAATCACAAGCACACGCTTGTCATAGAGGTGCGCGGTGAAACATAAACAACTCTGACGTACGCTGGTTGATACCATAGGATTTTTCACTGAGTAACAACGGGATGAGCCAATGACACGCACCCACTCAGGAACAGTATCCAGGGAGCTTAGACGAGACATAAGCGACAAAATACAGTCTATTTCCCGCTTATTTTCGGCACTGGGTAATAAGCCGCAACACAAAAGTATCTTATTGGCCGATAACGCCTAGCGTCTTGATATATACTCAGGAAAAAAGTGAAAAATTTCTTTCCAATTTACGTCAAGTTAAAATAAAGTCGAAAAAACACGGTGCGCAGTCAATTACACTTACTTTCAGAAACGTAAAAGACAACCGAAAGAAACAGGAACATACAGTGACTAGAGAAGGGATAACACATGAATGAAAGACACTCAACTATTACATAGAATACGGACAGACTGTATATACACTATTTTATCAATTCACAGCCACATTATTAACGTCCTCAAAATCGCCTGGGCACTGGTTAGCGAACCTTTGCATTATCAGTCAGCCTAGAACAAATATAAGTGAGTTCCTGATATATGCATATATATATATATATATATATATATATATATATATATATATATATATATATATGTATATATATATATATATATATATATATATATATATATATATATATATGTCCGTCCCACCTTAGACACACTCCAGCCCATGTTACGCATCAACACAGGTGGTAAATGAGCATGCGCTTTAGTCGATACAGACTTAAAGCCTTTTAAACTTATTGATCAACACAAAATAAATTCACCTGACATGGGTGTAACTTCCTCATAAGTCCCCGATGTGCCATACCTTTAAGACACCAGTGGGCTTATGCTTGTAACTTTAGCATGCCATTCGCTGGAGCAACCATGTTTAACAGTTGTAGCGATAAACAGAAGACGTTTTTTTACTGCATAGTCAACAATTTATTAGTACGTTATCCTTATAGTATGAGAACTATGCAACATTTTGAATACAACACAAAACTAGTTTAAGTATTTTGATGTTGAACATATTGTTTTTTCAACATCAGCCATAATTAAAAAACAAGCTCATACATATGTACACTGCTCTAACTTTAGGTGGGTAGAAATACACTTCAGCAGAACTGTACTACATCTACTGTTTCCTCAATAGTTGTAAATGTCAGTGTTTCGGGGAGTCTTCCAACACTTTCACGTTGACAACCACCAAACCGTAAATTTCGGATACTTTGGTGAAACTAGACACTTTGTGGTCATTACAGATGACCAACAGTTTAGTGATCATTTGGCTCCTGATTTACCATTTCTAGTGATCACTGTATACGTTTCTAGTCGTCTTCGATAAGGCTTGTCAAAATTATTCATTACATATACTCATTCGCGTAACAATCAGGCATTTTGGATTGATCAATGTCTGTAGCAGGCTACTGATTACCTGTGAGTATTCGTAACGAATTCAATATGGTGTTGGAATATCACATATGGTCAGTTAACTTCCTTTTTTGGCAGTTGTCATTCATGAGGGAGGGGTGAAAATATACCCAGGACACATCCCAATAGTGCTTTTATAAGTGGATACACTGAAGATTTTGCGCGGCAGTAAAAGAGATTTACGACTTTCTCAAGTCAGTGTTGCAGTGCAGGTGTTCTTAGTCTATTCAGATTAAGGTTTGTGTAACGACCCTGAGACATGAAAAATCTCCAAACGATGTACATAGGAACTAAGCAGACTTCGGGGTATAAATGTTATGGTTGATTGTTACCTTTAAATCTGAATGATTTACTAGCAGCCTTACGACATCTAACGAGCTCGTGCTATCTAAGTATAGTCAGAGTTTGAATTCCGATGAATGGCCAGTGAGTCACACAGCATCGACGCAAACATGGGATACAAATGAAGCTCATTGACCGAACACAGATTAGGATAGTTCTCACACATATAGCACCAATACACAAGACTACCAGTGAAAGTCGATGGCAAGATATAAAACACAACCTCTCGGAGAACATGGTCGATGAACTAAACGACAGGAAAGCATATTCTGAAAGGTTATAATAATGATGATTGACATAATTCGTGAATTTTTACCGGAACTTGGAGAATGTGAAAATTTTGGTGTTCGTTATAAACCACTAGCATGTTGCAGAACTTCGTTATTAAGCTGCAAAATTACTTGTCCCCTGTAAAACCTGAGTTGATACTCGAAATCATTCCTTGACATAAAGTGCACGGAAAACTGACGTCTCATTCATAAGTACGTTTTCATCTCGTCTGGCTAGAAATTGAAACTGTTGGGTGGAAGTCAAGCTTCAGCCCAAGGGTTAACCACCTTACGAGCGTAAGACAATCAACGCAATCAAACTACAACACACAAGTCTTTTCATAGTCATAACCCATCCTGGATGATCATGTGCTAAAATAAGCAAGAGTGGGACCTATTGGGACACTCACTTGTCTCTGAGAATCTTTCTTGACGATATTTCCCTACACTTAGATTTGAAGCCCCACACCGTGAAGGTTTATTTGTCGATTTGAATACAAAGACTGGGTTTTAGGGAACCATATAAATAAAAACTACATTCACCTGGCAAGGAAGTTGAAATGAATCGATGAAAATAAGACTACTAGAGTAGAAAATAAACCGAGTGATTCATTTCGGAGGTGAAAATCACTTTATCCACAAAACAATTAGCAAAACGATAAACTCAAGCTAAGTACTCTACCTTGACTGAAAACAGGCATTTTGAATTGCTTCTCTCTATCACGAGAAGTTTGTGGGACTTTTTCTTTCTCATATGAATTTATACTGATGATATTTGACCCTGGACGGTTGGTTCCACCTGGCATTGTCCCAATTCCACTGCTACTACTTCCAGTTGCAGTGCTGTTGCGCTTTTCACCTAATGTAGGCCTTGTAACTACTGGTTTAGTTGCGAAATCTCGATCGCAGTCCTCCGAAATTCCGGATTCTGTGGCATGACCGTTGGAGTAACTTCGTGAAGCATAAGTTGCGTTTTGGTTCAGTACACAGTCACCATTAAGAATATTTCCATCGTTACAGTTTGAAACAGAAGAACTATTGCGCAGTGGATCTTCAAGTCGAAGCAGTTTATCACTCATAAATTCAAACAACTACGGAGTTATAAGGCAGCCAACCAAATCCATTCAAAATGGTCACACTTTGTTTGACCTTTGAGTCAAACAGATCAAAGCACTCAAACAAAGATATTCAACGTCAGCGATGCATAATAACAAAACCGGAAGGGTCTGAATCTATGGGTTTGAGAACTGTGACTGCTGTTTCACCATCAGTCTCCAACTATCTGAGAGTCGAATATGATTTATCCATTTGAAAGTGTCTCGTTATGATAGGCAGTATTATTATTAAATATGCAATATCTAAAATCTGCTTTATGAGTCTGTATAAACTGGTTGATTTTTTACATCTCGGCTTCTGAATCTTGTCCAGTCCCTTCAGAACTTCGATGGGTTCCAGTGTTGCTAGTTTAGGATTTGTCCTGTTGCGAACTTGACAAATGCAAAGACCAATCACTATTTATTTAGAATCGTTATACACCCACGAATACGAGACCAAGGAAGAACACGATAGCGTAGTCGGATGGAATAGTATATTTGGATGGTTGTGCCAAAATACCGATGCGTTCCAACTAACTGGCTAGAGAGTCGAATACGAGCAGTGCAACGTAACACGACAGCGTACCAAATTGCGAGGATACTTGACCGGGTGCCTTCAGTTTAGCGAGTCCAGTTAAACTATCAGGGTCAGCATCAATGTCGAAGTCGTCAAACCCTAGGCTACTGATTTTGAAGAGGTGTGTGACGCTACAGATCACTCACCCCCCCCCCAGTGGGTTCGTGAGGACCCTAAGACGATACCAGCCGGAAGTAAAAACCCTGTAGTTTCTCCACTGTAAGACTCTTCCGATGGGCCCACTGCGTGAAGTGTCCCCTGGTTGTCTGAACTTATTCTAGGGTGTCGTGGCAATTAAATAATGAAATACAATAAATCGAATTGGACGTCGATCGCAGTCCTCGGTTTCCTTTGACGTTCCGTTCAGTGCTCGTTTCACCTGGAATATAAATAAGAGTCTTCAATACCGCGAAAAATTTTCGTAAAAATGGGAATCATGTGGATACAAATGTATCGAAAATAATATTTTACGCTTATTTTCACCGTTTTTTCCAAACCTTTCCATTACATGGTAATAAAAACTGATATAAAAGTCAAAATGTACGAGGAGTTTCGCATTGCTGGTAAATAAGAAAAATGGTGATTCGGAGAAAAATATTGAGTTTAAAAAATATGGTTGGCACATTTTATTCCACACCGCTAAGTTGAATACGACTTCAAGTACTCCGGGAACCTGACGGTCACACCTGATCGTGTTTTCTGTTGTGCGGATGGATGTTGCAACTGTGCATTACCAGGCACATCGTCAAGACTTTCGATAATTGAGCTATCCGTCGGTCGGCTGTAGCGAGCTGAAACGTCACTTTAATGGGGTTGCCTTCGAAATAAGCTGGTTTCAAACGGTCGATACTGACAGTATCTTCACGTCCGTCTCGCTCAATTATGTAGAATTTCTCGTGTCGCTTAATCACTTTGAACGGCCCGTCGTAGGGTGGTTCAAGTGGTCGACGAACAGCGTCGTGGCGAACAAACACGTGTGATGTCTTCTGTAAACTGGGGTGGACGAAAACATCAGTCGTTTGCGGTCTAATCGGAGAAGGCCTAACTGAACGCATTGCGTTTGTAAGCCTAGTCACGTAAGATGCCCTGTCGGAAACATGTTTGAAAGTTGAAGGGGAAACAAACTCACCTGGTAGGCGAAGAGTGGTCCCATAGACGAGTTCTGCAGGAGTGCATCCAGCATCAACTTTCAACGCGTTACGAATACCTAGTAGGACTAGAGGCAGAGCCTCGGTCCACTGAGGTATGTTTGTAGCTGAAAGGGAAGCTTTCAGCTGTCGATGGAAACGCTCTACCATGCCATTTGCTTGTGGATGGTAGGCTGTCGTTCGGAACCGAGTGCAACCTAAAAGTGCCGTTAGAGCGTGAAATAGTCCGCACTCAAATTGGCGCCCACGGTCGGTTGTGACGTAGGATGGACATCCGAAGTTCGCGATCCATCTTTCGACGAAAACACGAGCAACTGTTTCGGCAGTAATATCTTTAATGGGTACTGCTTCCGGCCATCGTGTGAAACGATCAACACAGGTGAAAAGGTAGGTACATCCATTAGATTCTGGTAGGGGTCCTACAATATCTATATGGACGTGGTCGAAACGCATGTCTGGGGCTAGAAATGAGCCTAAAGGGCTTTTCGTGTGTCGCGTGACTTTACACTTTTGACAAGCTAAGCACGACTGGGCCCACTCCTTAACGTCTTTGTTCATCCCAGGCCAGCAGAAACGTTGTGCGATAAGCCTAATGGTGGCTCGTACACCTGGATGAGAGAGTTTGTGCAACGTATTGAAGACGTTGCGTCGACAACTCTTCGGAACTATTGGGCGTGGTTGACTAGCAGAGACATCGCACAAAATTGCATCCTTGTCTGATCCAACAGGACAAAGTCGCAGTTTGAGAGTTGTGGACGACAACTCATGATGCAGCTCAAGGTCTTCCTTTTGACGCCGAGCTAGTTCAACGAGATCAATACCCTCGATATAGTTTATCGAAGCTATTCGAGATAGTGCGTCGGCTGCGGAGTTGTTTGCTCCAGAAATGTGGCGGATGTCTGACGTGAACTGGGAAATGTAATCCAGCTGTCGCGACTCACGAGGGGAGTATTTGTCAGACGCCGAGCTGAGGGAAAACGTTAACGGTTTGTGGTCTGTGAAAATAATGAAATCACGACCTTCCACAGAATGTCGAAAATGGCGTACAGAACAGTACATGGCTAGGAGTTCCCTACCAAATGTACTGTATCTTGTTTCCGCGTCTTGCAGCCGCCTCGAGAAAAAGGCTAACGGTTGCCACTGGTTGTCAGTCAACTGTTGCAAAACTGCTCCAATTGCTGAATCAGATGCATCAACAGCAATACTCAAAGGAGCATTGGGGTCATGATGCACAAGCATGGTTGCCTTCGAAATGGCCTCCTTGACTTAAGAGAAAGCAAGTCTGGCCACGTTGTCCACAGCTGCGAACTTCGCAGTTCCTCGAAGTAGATCTGTTAGTGATCTCATGACAGAGGCACAGTTGGGGATAAACCTTCGGTAATAACTTACCAGGCCATTGAAAGTGCGGAGATGTTTCACAGTGGCCGGCTCTGGATAGTTTATGATAGTCGCCACTTTATCTCTCAATGGGCGTATACCTTTGTTGTCAATGGCATGCCCGAGGAAGCTGAGTGATTCAACTCCCATCTCACACTTCTGTAAGTTGACTGTGATGCCATATTTTTTAAGTCTTTCGAATACAAGATCCAAATGTTTAAGGTGAGTTTCCTTATCTGGACTCGCAATTAGACAGTCATCGATGTAGACATGAACAAAATTCAAACCACGGAAGACATCATTCGTGAAGCGTTGGAATGTCTGTGCCGCATTCCGAAGACCAAAAGGCATGCGCAGGAATTCAAACAGGCCAAAAGGAATAATGATGGCTGTTTTCGCGATATCTTCTGCTGCCATAGGTATCTGGTTGTACGCTTTGACCAAGTCGATTTTGGAGAAAATGTTCATTCCGCATAAGGTTGCGGTCAAGTCGTAAACGTGAGGTATCGGGTAGCAGTCCGGAGTTGTTTTGGCGTTAAGCCTTCGGTAATCACCGGTTTGACGCCACTTGTCGCTATCCCTTTTGGGAACCATGTGCAATGGCGATGCCCAAGGACTGTTTGACGGCCTGATAATGCCCAGTTCGAGTATGTGGTTGAATTCATTTTTCGCCGTTTTGAGCTTATCGGGGGCTAGACGGTGTGCCTTGGATGCCACAGGTGGACCTGTGGTTGTGACGTGATGCATAACATTGCTGGTTATGCACGGAAGAGTGTGCTTCGGTTGTTGCAACTCTGGATATTTCTCCAAAACTGCCTGGTAGGACGCGTCGCCTGATTGTTTAGTTCTAACGATGGCTAAACTCGGACCTACATAGGTGGTGCCGCCAATAGATAACTTTGTGTTGTTATCTATCAGTCGTCGACGGCGAGCATCTACGAGTAGATCGTAATGGTTCAGCAAATCTATGCCAATGATAGGCATAGAGACGTCTGCCAGGAGGAAAATCCAGTGGATAGGTTTGCGTAAACCTAAGTTGAGGTAGGCATACCGTCTCCCGAATGTCGCGATTGCCTTGCCGTTGGCTGCTTGAAGATTGAAGGATGGGTCGAGATGACGCTCCTTTGTCGTTGCTGGAAGAACGCTAACTTCTGCGCCGGTGTCGACGAGGTAGCGGACTTTCGTTTTAATGTCGGTGACGTAGAGCAAACGGCTTTTTCCGCCGGCTACGGTTGCCGTGAGCACGTGCCGGCGTGACCGTTTCCCGAGTTTGTGTCCTTCTTAAAACGGCATGGTTTACGACATTTTCTGGCTTCATCCCCGTAAGTGTTATGAAACCAGCACCATTCAGGGTTTTCCACCCTGTTGGGTTTCGTTTTAGGGCTACCACGCGACTTGCTGCGATGCGCCAAGGTGCGTTTCTGTGAAGTGCTACGTGATCTAGGACTTCGAGATCGTAGCAACCGTTTCACAGAGTTGCACAACTTGGTCACCTCCGAATCCTGGCGCTCTGGTTTGTCGTAGATAGAATATACGTTGGAGACGGGTCTGCTGGATATCTCCAGTATTTTATCTGCTGAGGCTGCCAGGTCGTCGAGTGGGACTGACTGGAGTGTCACCAACACGGTTTGCACCGGTTGTGGTAGTTTCGAGAGAAATAGTTCTCGGAAGAAACCATCGTCAAATGTTCGTGCACCGATTACTTCTCGCATGCGTGCGAGGACTTCAGTAGCTGAGTGGCTGCCTAGCTCGATGTTACGAAGCAATTCGTCTAGACGTTGGCGATCTGTGAGATCGCTTTTCTTCAAGAGTGCGGCCTTTAGAAGTGCATAAGGGTCACTTACTTCAGGATTAAACATGTTTGCTGTAACATACCTGTTTAA